AGGGTTCTCTCCCTCTGCCTCTCCCCTGCTCATGCACATGTTCTTTCTCTAAAATAAAGAAATACATCTTTTAAAAAGTAATCTATTCTAGTTCTCTTTCTATATAAACTTCAGAGTAATCTTGTCTATAGCTACACAAATGTTTGCTGGGATTTTGAAAGTAGTTGCATGAAATCTGCTTGTCAACTTTGGGAGAATTGACATCTTTATTGTATTTAGTCTTCCAGTTCATGAATCTGGTATTTATTTAGGTCTTCTTTTATTGTTTCAGCATTGTTTTGTCATTTTCAGTATACAAGTCTTATATAGGTTTTGTTAAATTTATTACATCTAATTATTTCTTTTTAAAAAGCCATTATAAATGGAATTGTATTTTACATTTCAGCTTTCATGTGCTCATTGTCAATATTTAAAAAGTGACTAATTTTTGTGTTGATTGTGTATTCTGTAACTTGGCTTAACTTCCAGTACTATACTGAGCAGAGTGGTGACAGTGGGCATCCTTGCCTTGTTCCTAATCTGAGCGGGGAAAGTATTCAGTCTTCCAGTGTTGACATATCACCCTTGTTTTTTTTTTTTTTTTTTTTTTTTTTTAAGGTTAGTTATAGATGGTCAAGTTGAGGATCTCTATTCTTGGTTTCCAGAGAGTTCTTTTCATAAACAGGTGTTGAATTTTGTCAAATGTTTTTTTCCTACAACAATTTATATGAGCATCTGATTTTTCTTCTTTATCCTATTAACATATTACATTGTTTGATTTTCAAATAGTGAATCAGACTTGCATCCCTGGAATAATAGTCACTTGGTCATAGTGTATAATTCTTTTCATATATTGCTGAATTCTATCTGCTAGTATTTTGGTAAAATTTTTTGTTCCCCATATTCATGAGGAATATTGGTCTGTAGTTTTCCTTTATACTGTTTTGTCTTTTATATTTATTTGTTTGTATCAGGGTAATCCTGGCTTCAGAGAATGAGTTAAGAAGTGTTCCCTCTCCTATTTTCTGGAAGAGTTATGTTGAATTGGTGTTATTTCTTCAAACATTAGCTTGAATTCTCCAGTAAAGCCATATGTGCCTGGAGATTTTTTTTTCACGTTTTAAATTATCTTAGTAGTTATAGGGCTATTCAAATTACCTAATTGAGGGGCACCTGGCTGGCTCTATTGGTAATGCATCTGCCTTTGGCTCAGGTCATGATCCTGGGGTCCTGGGATCAAGCCCCGCATTAGGTTTTCTGCTCAGCTGGGAATCTGCTTGTTCCTCTCCCTCTGCCCTGCTTGTGCTTTTTCTCTCTCAAATAAATAAATAAAATCTTTAAAAAACACAAAAATTACCTAATTGACATTTGGTGAGTTGTGGTAGTTTGTATTTTTTGAGGAATTGATCCATTTAATCTTCATTTTAGAATTTATGTGCATAGCTTGTTCATAGTATTCCCTTAGTACCTTTTTTTAAAATTATTTATTTATTTATTTATTTATTTATTTTTTATAAACATATATTTATTTTTTCCCCAGGGGTACAGGTCTGTGAATCTCCAGGTTTACACACTTCACAGCACTCACCATAGCACATACCCTCCCCAATGTCCATAACCCCACCCCCCCCTCCCAACCCCCCTCCCCCCAGCAACCCTCAGTTTGTTTTGTGAGATTAACCCTTAGTACCTTTTTGATGTCTGCAGGACCTATTATGACGAATTGATGTTAACAATTTGTCTTCTCTCTTTTTTTGTCAGCCTTACTAGAGATTTGTCAGTTTTATTGGTCTTTTCATGAAATAGACATTTAATTATCTCTATTATTTCTCTGTTTTCTGTTTCATTGATTTCTGCCTTTGTATTTATTATTTCCTTCCTTATGCTTGCTTTGGGCTTATTTTTCTCTTATTTCCTAGCTTCTAGAGATGGAACCTTATATTGTTCATTTGAGGCTTTTCTTCTTCTTTTTAAAAAAGATTTATTTATTTGAGAGAGAGAGCATGCGAGCTAGAGGAGGGGCAAAGGGAGAGGTAGAGAGAGAGAATCTGAACCAAACTCCCTGCTGAGTGTGGAGCCTGACGTAGGTTCAATACCATGACCCTGAGATCATGACTTGAAATGAAATCAAGATTCAGAAGCTTAACCTATTGAGCCTACTTAAGCAGGTGCCCCTGAAGCTTTTCGTCTTTTAATGTAAGCATTCAATGCTATAAATTTCCCTCCTGAACTTAGCTGTGCCTCACAAAATTTGATAAGTTCTATTTTCATTTTCTTTCAGTTCAATGTATTTTTTTTTTACATTTCTCTTGAGATTTCCTCTTTGACCCATAGATTATTTAGAATTGTGCTGTGTAGTTTCCAACTCTTTGGAGATTTTCCTGTTATTGATTTCTAGTTTGATTCCATTGTAGTTAAAGAATATACTCTACAAGATTTTAATTATTTCAAAATTTTTTAATTTTTAAAATTTTCAAAAATTTTCAGGTTTTGTTTCTATCCCTACATACATATTGACTATTATGTGTCTTGTCATAGATTTCTTTGGGTTTATCTTGTTTGAGATTAATTCAGTTTCTTGAATCTGATGTATGGATTTGTTTGTTTGTTTCATCAAATGAGGGATATTAGTTCTTCAAATGTTTTCTCAGCCTCACCCTCTTTCTCCTCTCCTTCTGAGACTCCAATGGCTTTAATGTTAGATCTTCTGTCATACTAGCCACACATGCCCCTGAGGCTCTGTTCATTTATTATTTTTTTTTTTTAGTTTATTTTCTCTCTCCTGTTCAAATTGGTTAAATCCTATTGTTCTATGTCCCATTTCACTGATGTTATTTCTATAATCCCCATTCTGCTGTAGAACCCATTAGTTAAGGTTTTTATTTCACTCGTATTTTTTTAGTTCTAAAATTTCCTTTTGATTCTTCTTTATATCTTCTTTCTTTGCTGACACTCTCACTTGTTTCAAGTATGTTTGTAATTGCTCACTGAAGCATTTTAATAATGGCTGCTTTAAAATCTTTGTCAGATAATTCCAACATCTGTGTCATCTTGGTGTTTGTGTCTGTTGATTATATTCCCACATTCAGTTTGAGAACTTCCTGGTTCTTAGTGTGCCAAGTGATTTACAATTGAAACCTGGACATTTGGGGTATTATTTATGGGACTGGATCTTATTTAAATTTGTGCTATTTAGGGGCGCCTGGGTGGCTCAGTTGTTAAGCGTCTGCCTTTGGCTCGGGTCATGATCCCAGGGTCCTGGGATCGAGCCCCACATTGGGCTCGCTGCTCGGCAGGAAGCCTGGTTCTCCTTTTCTCACTTCCTGTGCTAGTGTTCCCTCTCTCGCTGTGTCTCTGTCAAATAAAAAATAAAATCTTTAAAAAAAACCAACAACTATACTTTAGTTTTTCACTGCTCCAGTGAAATGAATGGGGCACTGGCTCATTATTGCCAAGTCGGGGTAGAAGTTCAGGTTCACCACTCAGCCCCTCCTGACATCTGGTGTGTGTGTGTGTGTGTGTGTGTGTGTGTGTTTAGCTTTCTTATCATTGCTAGGCAGGGATAGAAGAACAGGTTCCCCATTATGCATTCACTAATACCACCCTGGCTGGGAGAGGGAGGGTCAATCCGTTGCTGTTTTCCACATTGCTTCCATGTAGATTCCACAGTAGGAGGTGGGCTTATGACCACTGAGTGACAGTGAAAGCGTTGACCCTCCTCCAGACCTCCTCTTACACCACTCTAGTAAGGAAATGGTGCCTCATCACTACTGAGGTGTGTGTGTGTGTATGTTCAGGCTCCCCATGTGGTCTCCACTGACCCTGTGGGGAGGAATAGTTCAGTGGGGATGGAGGGCCCAGCTTCACACTCAGCTTTCTCTGGCACCACTCAGATGTGGTATGGGGGACTGGCCTGGGTTCTTCATTACGGCCTAGCAAAGTTGGAAGTCTAGAGTCCCACACAGCCTTTGCTCTCAGGGGTGGGAGTGAAGCAGAAGGTTTTTCTGTGATATTTAGCTGAGGCAGAGCAGTTACTGCCTGAAAGACTTCTGTCTTTCTGGGTTTCCCCTTTCTTGGTTCTTTGGCTAGAAGATCAGAGTTTTGCTGATCTCTTTTTGTCTGTGCCCATTGGCATTTCTAGTTTCTTTCTTCTTTAGTATCCAGTGAAAGCCCGGGAATTCACCATCCTATCATTCCTCAGGTCCCAAGGTTCCTAACCAGTGTGTCTTCTCTCAAACTTTCAATGTCTTCTTATGCTTGTTTTAAAAAATCCAGGGTTTTAGTTGTTCTGAGCAAAAGAAATAGGGAAGAACACACCTTCCTAGAACATTACTGTTTTTTCAACAAGCTGTCCTTTCCCTTTTCCTTCTCAATGGCGACAGTCAGTAGAGGTTGGTGATGTCAGGATGCAGATTCCTCAAAGACTTACCTATTCAAATCCCTATAAGATCTGGACGGCTCTGCCTGATGTCTGGTTCTGGTCTCAAGACACTGACTAGAAGCTGACCATATAGAAAAGTTCCAGTCTCATGACTTGCCCATTCACTAACACTTCATGTAAGTTACCTTTCTTCTTCCTGATATCTGTGTGCTCTTCCCTCAACCCTTGCGAGCTGCTGAAGCACCCAGATAAGTGACCAGACGCCCCACCATTCTTGCCTTTGGAGGAAAAGCATGGGAATGGGAATAACTGGATGGTAGCACTAAACTACAAATATTTTCAGATTGCCCTGTGCCTTTTAGAAGCAGGCTGGCAGTTCTGATGGCCTGGCTTGAATTATCAGCGTTTCCTGAGAACTGGATGGGGAGAAGTTGTGGAGGAACTAGCTCTAACTATCTGATGTAGAAACTCCATATACGGAAACTAAACACTGACTGTAGGTACTCGAGTGTTCCCTCCAATCTGCCTCTGACCCCACATGGCCCTCATTACCTCTTTTCCCACCTCTCCACTTCTCCATGCCTCTCGGTTGCCCTGCGAGTCACAGAAGGGCAGGGGGTGTGGCCGAGGAGGCTGAAAAACCTTCACTGTGCTTCCCCTTTCACTCTCAGATGCGGCCAGGGTCCCCGAAGAAGGAGGACACGAGGAAACAGGTAAAAACCATTTTTGCTGTCTTTTGCATTCGGCAAGCCAATGTGGAGCAGCTGCTGTATGCCAGGCCTGGGAGCACAGTGGCTAGTTGTCCTCCCTCTTGCCTGTGTTCTAACAGGACACAGACCCCTGTCTTTGAGCATGGCCCCTGAAGGGCTTGATGGTCTTCTGAGAGTAAGATGGGTCACCAGATTCCCCGGGAGGGAAGAATGGCCTTGGGGAGGCTGGCTCTGAGATCCGGCAAGGCCCTCAACTGGCCTGTTTTGAGAGACCAGGGGTCTGGGTAGTGTGACCTTGTGCTGAGCCTTTGTGCCTAATGCCTATCCCCCCCGACCCCTGGCCTCCAGCCTATTCTCAGCAGCCTTCCAGTTCCAGGCCTGTGGTCCCATTTCTTATGGCCCAGAGATGGCCTGGAGCTGCTGGGGGTGAGCACACAGCCCTGCTCTGAGGCGTGCCCTCTCCCACTTGTCCTGGTGTCCTCAAGCCATTCCCCCATGAGGGCGGCTGGTGGCAGAGGGGGCGCAAGGGTCCAGCTACTGGAGGCTAGTCTTTGCCACAGAGAAGGGAATCTAGCCCTTGCTACAGCTCTGGTGGAAACACAAAGGGACTTCCAGCGCATCCCTCAAAACACTGACCCTGCGACCTTGCCAAGTTTTTCACAGGAAAAGTAAAATCAGTCCCGTGGCTAAAGAAGTGTGGGGCAATGGACTGTACTCTGGCCCCCATGCTGGGAGACATATGATGTGCACCCAGCTGATGAAAGGGACCAAAAGACCCACATTTGGGAATCAATTTACTTTTTTAACCCAAGTTTTCTCAAGTGGATGTGGCCTTGAAGACGTTTTTGTGTGTAGCACTGTTAGCGCCCGCACTGCTGGCATCTGTTCTGCCTGGAGAGTCTGCCCCCGTTCACAGTCCTCACTCCTAACCTAGGCCCAGCCCAGGCTGGCACAGCCTCTACTCCTGGGGACAGGCCTCCTTCCTGCTCGGCAAGCGGCCTCGCTTTCCCCATGCCGGGTACCGGGCCCCCAATAGCAGCTGGCACGAGCCATGCAGCCTGAGAAGATGAACAGAAGGGGGTGAGGGGCCCTTGGTGTGTGGGAAATGTTGGCTGCGCAGGTGGGACAGGTGCAGGTCTGTACTGAGACCGGAGACACACTCTGTTACACATCCTGCTAACTCCAGAGGGACCAGCACAGAGGGGCCCAGCCATGCAAATTGGCACATAAATTTAACTCTCTGTAAATGTAACTCTATGTAAAAGTTTAGTAAGGTGGTGGAGAAGCTCACTAGTGTCTCAAAGAGAGACAGACGGGTCGTGGCTGCAAACTGGGGGCCCTTGACTGCCTCCGGCCCACAGATAGGTTGGGTTTGGCCAGCACCGTGTTTGTTTGTTTGTTTGTTTCTGAAAGCAGGACATTTCACATGAAAATCTGGCTTCTTACTTCTCTTAAAACAGTGGAAGGTCAGGCAGTGCTGAGCTCATGTTCCCAACTGGCAACAATTGGCTGGGACTAGCATGTTACTGTCTTAACCCAAAGCATGACCTCTGTCCCCACCTGGTTGATTTATGTTTTCTTCCCAGCCACCAGGCTTCTCTGAGTGGGACCCTTGGACCACATTCTCCTAAGTTCTCTTAGTCCCCTCTAAATGTTCTCCTGGAATCACACTTAATTATTAGTTTTAGAGTAATTTTGTTCTTGGTCTTTAAAATCAAGTTTTGAGCATGGTTCTGCCCTACATAAAACCCTCCACTACTTGCCTCAAGGTGAGCTTCAAGTTACCCAGGGCCTGGGATTCAAGGCGACCAGTGGTCTGGTGCCACTCAAAGACTGAGAGCTGGGCAAGAAGTTTGTAAAATAATGAATGGATGGACAGATGGAAGAGTGGAAGGAAGGATGGGATGGATGGATGGAAAGAAGGAAGGAAGGAAGGAGGGAAGGAAGGATAGATAAGTGGATGGATGGTTGGTTGGTTGGTTGGTTGGATGGAAGAAAGGAAGGAAGGCTAGGAAGGAAGGCAGGCTTGCTGTACAGAGTAGTTAGGCTGACACAATAGACATGGCATACCCACAAAAGGCCCCATGAACATCCAGAATTCAGTTCCTGCCATACAACCAAATGTGGTCCTCCTGGGATCAGGGAAGAGGGGTTGGAGCTTGGTGGGTGAGCAAGAAAGTCATCTGAAAGAATTAAGTGACCAGACGGCTCAAAGACAAATTCTTCCCGGCCCAGGTTCCTGCCTAGACACAACACCATGCATCTCCTCGGCCCCTCGCTCCTGCTCCTTGGTAAGGACTGTGGTCTAGGCTCGGGTTCTGGGATGTCTGTGGGAGCTGGAGGAGGAGGGGAGTTGGGGAAGGTGGGGACAGACAGGGTGTGTGTGTGTGTGTGTGTGTGTGTGTGTACACTTCTCTCTTTGTGTACCTTTCTCTCTCCCTCTATCTTGGGAATTCATTATTCATTTGAAAGCTCTTTATGTCCCTCAATAATGCTTTTTGATCACTGTGGTGGGTTCCAGAATACTTGGCCTTCTCTGACTCATCTAAATGGAGGGTTGAGCACCCCCACACTCTCTACAGCTGGGAGGGGGCCTGCGTCTGGATTCCCTGTACCTACACAGTTCACTCCACGAGTAAAGATGAGCTGGAAGAACTGATCGTGTACAGAAACTATAAATATGATGAAGCCACCAAGAACTTCGAGGGGCTCATTCTGTATAATGACACAAAGCCTTGGAAGCGTCCTGATCCCCTGGAGAGGGTTCAGTTCCTGGGAGACCAAAGATCCAACTGCACCATACACATCAACCCTGTACTGGGAGAAGACAATGGCTGGCTGGGGCTGAGGATGATAAAGAAGAATTCCAAATGGATGGAGAAAATAGACCTCAATGTCTCTAGTAAGGCCCTGGGGGATGGGGGTCTCTGCCTTGGTTTCGGGCAAGGAGGGAGGTGGGAAACCCCCAACTCCTGGGACGGGGGATGCAAACCAGGCTGCCTGTGGAGGCCAGGCAGGAGCTGCCAGTGAGTGACCCGGGCAGCCTGAGACAATGGAGCCCGAAGCCTGAGCACCTATCTCTCCTCAAGCATTGAACCTGGCCCTCAGCTCCCACCCATGCTAGAATCTGGGTTCCAGTTTGCCTGATTTTTCTTTTTTCTTTCTCTTTCTTTCTTTCTTTCTTTCTTTCTTTCTTTCTTTCTTCCTTTCTTTCTTTTTTAAAGACTTTATTTATTTATTAGGGGGAGAGAGACAAGAGGACAAACAGGGGTGGGTGGTAGGCAGAAGGAGAAGCAGCCTTCCCGCTGAGCAGGAAGCCTGATGCGGGGCTTGATCCCAGGACCTCGGGATCATAACCTGAGCCAAAGGCAGATACTTAAGCCAACTGAGCAACCCAGGTGCTCCTGCTTGCCTGATTTTTCAAGGGAGGATGGAAATCTGGTTTGAGTGAATTCTCCCATTGCCTTAATATTGGCAATTCATTCTAATCAGGCCTCCATGTCTAGAAGAGACACAGGTAGGGGATGAGTAAAACCTAGGCCTGAGACCTCCGACCCACAGCCTGTTTCTTCAAGTACAGGGGCTCGAGGGGTCTAAGCCGAGCAGCCCTACACTGCGATGAGAGATGTAGCTTCAGACCATCAGTCCTAGGGGTGGCCGAGCCGGGTGTTCCCTAAAGGAATGCCATGCTGGATGCCTCCCAGCACTGAGGCCATTACAAATGCAGGTCTGTCATCAGAGCCAGGAAAGGCATGGTGACCAAATCTGGTAAAATTGTCCCAGGGCAGGGGAGCGATCTTGAAAATGTTTAGAGAGCAAACATCAGGGAAGGAGAACGAGGTTAAGTATAAAATATAAAACAGGATTCCTAAGGAGAAGCAGGGATCACAGGACCTTGAGCAAAAGTGATGCAAAGCAGAGAAAGGCAGGCCTGAAGAGAGAGGTGGAAGGGACTGGCAAGGGGGCCTGAGGGCTTATTTGGGGCAGGGCATCTATAGCCAGGGGTGAGAGGCCGGCAGGAAGGCACCTGGTCTCCCAGGCCTCCAGCTTGGCCCCTACTCTCTTGCAGAGACCCCGCTTCCACTTCAAATTCAGCTCCCTCCAGAAATCCAGGAGTTCCGGGAAGTCACTCTGACCTGCTTGCTGAATTTCTCCTGCCCTGGGTACAATATCCAGCTGCAGTGGTCCCTGGAAGGGGACCCTGGAGGGTCCCTGAAGGAGCGTGCCATCACCTTGACCTCCCTGACCACCAAGACTATCTCCACCCAGAGCAAGCTCACCTTCCAGCCGCGGTGGATGCACCACGGCAAGAATCTGACGTGCCAGCTCTGGGACCGCAAAGCAGAGCAGATGCTCTCCAAGGAAACGGTGTTGCTAGATGTGAAGCGTGAGTGCCCCCCAGGGCCCCAGGGGAAGGATGAGGGTCTTGTCTCTTCTCCTCCACCTCAGAGTGTGCCAAGGGTATCGGGTACCGACACGGAAGGACGCGTAATGGGTCCGTGGACATCCATGGCTGGGAAAGGTCCCGCCAGGGCTATGTCCTTCCATCACCCCTGTTCTTAGGCCCAGTGTTTTGGGGAACAGCTTCATCTTAGCATCTGGTTTGGTCTAAGAGAATAACATAATATCCTTGAGCTCTGGTGTGAATTTGAGATCATGTGGTTAGGTTTTTTACTTCCCCTGGGTGGAGGGGGTGCGGGGTAAGAAATGTCTTCACATCATTGTTTGTGCCTCATTCATTCATTCAGTAATTTTTACTACGAGCCTCCTAGGTGCCAGGCCTCTTCTTGCCCACTGAGGAGCTAGCGCTGCAGCTGGGGAAGATAGATAATGACTAGATTAACAAAGAAATGCCGATCTTAAGGGTAGGCAGTGATAAGTGTATTGGGGGGAAGCAAAGCTGGGCTCGGACAGAGAGAGGGAGGGACAGAGGCCTCTCTGAGGACAGTGAGCTTGGGTGGAGGGAAAGATTGAGGCAGGTAGCTATTTGCCAGAAGATCTCAGGAAGAGAAAAGAGGAAGGACAAAGGCCTGGGGGTGGGAGCTTGGTGCACCTGTGTCAGAGTGAGGGGCCAGAGAGCCTCCGCCCTGTGTCCAAGGGGCCAAGTGGTAGGAAAGGAGGCCCAACGCCTGACCTCGTGGGTGGCAGTGCAGTTTTGGATTTTATTCTGCATGGGGAATCCACTGAGCAGTTTCAAGCAGGGGAGTGGCCAAGTCTGATTGACAGGATCAGGAAGACAGCTGACTGCTGGTGGAGACCAGAACTCTGGGAATGGGTTATAGGGTGGCGCACAGAGCAGAGACTGGTTAGGAGTCTGGTGACGGTCACCAGGTGCTTGGACCAGCCCACCCTTGTTGACAAGGGGGACAGCAAGTTCTGCCCACCCTCGCCCACTGTGTATAGGCCATTGCTTTATCTGAATCAAAGCCCTGCAACGTCCCCACTACGTGGCACCCTCTGAGGAGTCTCCGCCCCCCTCTCCCGCTGCCCTTCTGCTCCTCCAGATGTCCCAAAGTTGAAGATTGAGGGCAGTCCCAAAGGAGCCAATGTAACAGAGGGAGAGTCTGTGACCATGACATGCCAGGTCATTAGCAGCAACCCAGAGGCCCGGAACATAGGCTGGATCAAAGACGGCACCCAGCTGAGGGAGCAGACGACATCCACGCTCACTCTGTTCTCTGTGACCAAGAAGATGAGTGGAAAGTACCAGTGTGAGGCCTTCAATGATGTAGGCTCAGGACAGTCGGATGCAGTGGTCCTCCAAGTGTATTGTGAGCCTCCTGGGATCTGGGAGGGGGGGGGGCAGGCAGGGAGTTAGCAGGGCGTGGAACCGAGGCCCTGGAGAGGTGAGCAACAGGGGCCTCTGTTCACCTCCTCTTCTGCCTCTGCAGATGCTCCAGAACCTTCCAGGGTTGAGATCTTCTCCTCGCCAGCTAAAGAGGGGGATAAAGTAGAGATGACTTGTATGTCACTGGCCAATCCTCCTCCAACCAATTACACCTGGTATCACAACGGAGTGGCAGTGCCGGGAAGGACAAGCAAGAGCTTCCAGATCCCAGCGGTCCTCCTCAGCCAAGCTGGGAAGTACTCATGCATGGCAGAAAACAGACTTGGTCCTAGTCAAATTGGCCAGGAGACTGAGTTAGATGTCCAGTGTGAGTAGTCACAGGGCCTCTGGGTTCTAGCGGGAGGAGGAGGCAGGCCGATGGGGTGAAGGAGAGTCCTGGACCCCCCTGGCAAGCAGGGGGTCTCCCGACATGTACGCTCCTTGGGCAGGAGCCTCACTACTGTTCCGAGTTGTATACCCAGGGCCAGAACAGTGTCTGGCTCGTAACAGGTGTTCAGTAGATGCTTGTTGAATGAATGAACAGCAAGATGCCAGGGCCTGTGAGGGATGCGGAGAACTTGGTGTCACTTAGACAGTGCTGGAGCTCCAGAAGGGGGCCTGAAGTTTTCAAGAACTGGAGCAAAATGTCTCACCGCCTTTCATCAGAGGTCAGACCTGTTTAACACAGTCTCATCTGTCAGTCAAGCCCGTGACCAAGAGAATCCCTAAGTTTGAGCCTTGGACCCTGAGATGTCAGAGTCTGAGTCAGATACTCACTCTGATGGGGATGCTTGAACCCTGAACATCTAGACAGTGGGTATGTGAAGCAGCAGCAGCAGCCACGTTTCCAGAGTGTTTACTCCTCTCTGAGGGCTTCATCCCAGTTCCTCCTGGCAGGGACTCTACCAGGTCAGGTGTCTTAGGACCCCATCTAATGGAGAGCACACTGAGTCCCACAGCCCACCATCACTCAGCTCGCAGCCCATCCGGCTCCAGGGCCGTGCTTTTCCCCTTCCCCCCACCCAGGGAATGCCTGCACTACAGCAGACTAGCGCTGTGCCCCAGGCCCCCGTGGAGACCCACAGACGGGGCACCTCTACCCTGCACACGCCATGCATTCTCTGCTTGAGCTCTGCTCTAGTCACCATGCCTCAGACCACAGCCAGGGCTCCGGTCCTCGTACAGACCCAGAGGGAAGCACAAGCCTTCCTTTGGTTGATTTAGGACTTGTGTGAATGCAGGGGATATGCTGGGGCGGGGGGTGGCAGAGAAGGCACTGGGAAAGGTAGCCTGGACAGCAACTTTTCCTTGCCCATCTGTCTGGTTTTCTCCCAGATGCTCCCAAGGAGGTAACCACGGTGATTGAAAACCCCACGCGGATTCAAGAAGGAGATACTGTGACCCTGTCCTGTAACTACAGTTCCAGCAATCCCGGAGTTACCCAATATGTATGGGACTTCCAAGGCTCTCAGATGAAACAACCAGACGAGGTGCTGATAATTCAAAAAGTTGCCTGGGACACCAGGCCAATCACCTGTGCAGCCTGTAACCAGTGGTGTTCGTGGGCTCCCATTGTCAACCTGGATGTCCAGTGTGAGTGACCGGGCAAGGGGACCCAAGAGGTAGCCCAGCTGTGATATGGGCTCTCAGGGCCAGGGGCCTGGGGCCTGGGCCGGAACCTTCACAGAGAATTAAGGGCTGAGAGTCTGGCCTCAGGGCCAAGGGGAGAGGAAATCATGGGGACAGGAAGAGGGAAAGGGACCCAAGAGGCCAGCCTGAGGCCCTTGCTCTCCAGATGCACCCAAGGATGTCAGGGTCCAGCAGATCATCCCCTCCTCTGAGATTCACTCCGGGAACCGAGTCCGCCTTGAATGTAACTTCTCAAGTAGCCGCCCCAGAGACGTCCGCTTCTTCTGGAAGAAAAATGGAATCTTTCTGAAGGAAGGAAAAGAACTGAGCTTCGACTCCGTCTCTCCAGAAGATGCTGGCAATTACAACTGCTTTGTCAACAACTCCATAGGTCAGACCATGTCTGAGGCCAGGACGCTCCAAGTGCTGTGTGAGTGCATGGCTGGGGCTGGAGACAGGCCGAAGAGCCCGTGACCAGCTACCTGGATCCTGATTTTGCTTCTCCTTATAGATGCACCAAGGATGCTGCGTGTGGCCATCAGCCCGAAGGACCAGGTGATGGAGGGGAAGAAGGCCGTCCTGACATGTGAGAGCGATGCCAACCCTCCGGTCTTCCTGTACACCTGGTTTGACTGGAAGAACCAAAACCTCCACCATTATGATCAGATGCTGAGATTGGATCCCGTGAAGATCCAGCACTCAGGTGCCTACCGGTGCGAGGCCACCAACAAGCTGGGCAGGGTCCAGTCGCCCCCCAGTACCCTCACTGTCTACTGTAAGTCTCCTCCTGGCCCCTCCTCCCCTTACCCCTCCCCTGCCGTCCTGTGGGGTGGCCCAGCAGGTCACTTCCTGCTCCGCACAGGCTCACCTGTCTGCCTCCTTCTCTGGAGACTTCTCCCGACCTCTCTAGGAGGGTTCCCTCTAGGGCTGCCCCTGCCTGCCAGACATCCTGGGCTCTGTCTTTCTCTGTCTCACCCCTGATAGACTGCTCATCTTTATCTTGAGATTTCAGTATTTTTTTTAAGATAAGGTAAAATAAAATAGCATGAAAAAGTATTCTTTCTTTCTGCCTGAGGACTCTACCCCGTCCCTGAAGGCCTTCAGCACTGGCGGCTGGTTGCATCCCCTTACAGAGCTATTCTGTACACGCACAATACCATATAAGTTGGTCTATGTCTGTACACCCTCCGTCACGTGCACACGTTGTCCTGGACGTTCTTTTTTTCCCATGTAACAATGCCACTCGGAGACTGTGCTATATCCATGTGTGTACAGAGTGTATGAAGAGTCTGGAAACAATAGGGAAGATATTTAATTGACTTTTTCAGATTAAACTTGAAGCTATGGCTTTAGATTTAGAGGGTGGTGGCCTGCCAAGCTGGATGCCTGAACGGGTTCTTTGGAAATGCGACATATTGTATAAACACCTGTGTCTGGGGTCTCCACTTTGCAGACACCCTAGAGACCTGCCTTTTCCCCTCAGGGCTGCATTGTCATTGTCCTCCCGTGCACAGAAGCGACAAACCCTATCCACCCCGTGCCTTTCCCCACAGCCCTGCGCTGTCTCCAGCTCTGGTCCCACTGAAAGACAGTTGCAGGAGAAGTTCTGATAAGTATGGCCAAGCAGCCGCTAAAGAAGTTGTAGCTCGTACTGCGTGTCCTATGTGTGCCTGTGTCTGTCACAAAACAGGTACTCTCCTGAGAGTTAGACTTTCCCCCACCAGGCCCCAGTGGGCAGGGGCCAGCTTCTCCCTTTTTCTATATCTTGGCCCCCTGCGTATGGAAAAGTTGCCCAGGCAAGGACAGTGGCCACGCAGAGAAGCTGAGGATGCCTCCTGGGCAAATGCTGCAAATCAGAGCTGGCCATGATCCAAGAGAGGCAGGATCCCCAACTCATGGTCGCTCCTTCCCCCACCAGACAGCCCAGAGACCATCGGCAGGCGAGTGGCCGTCGGAGTGGGGTTCTGCCTGGCCACCCTCCTCCTGGCGTTCTGGGGAGTCAAGCTTCAGCGAAGGTAAGCTCCTCCCAAGGCCCACATCCTGGGCTCTCCCCGATACCTTTCCCTGAGTGACTCTGGTTGGCCATCCTGGAGCCCCCCCAGCATGCCCACTGCAAGGGGTCCTGTCCCCACTCCCCGATCCTCACAGAGCGGGGCTTTATTTATTAGCTGGAAGAGGATACGGAGCCAGCAGGGGCTCCAGGAAAATTCCAGTGGCCAGAGCTTCTTTGTGAGGAAGCAAAAGGTAAGAAATGGAAAAAGATGACCAGGAGGGCAGACTCAGAAGTCAAGGGGAGACAAAGGGAAGGGGGGATGCAGAGCATGGTGGGGGGGAGGTCAGGGGTCAGAGGCCAGGGGAGGGGGACTCGGGTGAAGAAAGGAGTGGTGAAAGCTGAGGCCTTGTCTCTCTTCCAGGTTAGAAGGGCCCCCCTCTCCGAAGAGCCCCACCCCCTGGGGTGCTACAATCCTGTGATGGAAGATGCCATCAGTTATGCTGCCTTGCGCTTTCCTGTCAGCGACAATGACACACCAAGAACTGGGTACCGAGTGAGGGTCCCAGGATGGGGACACGTGAACCCAGGGAGGGCTGTGGGAGGAACAGCTCGGCTCCTGTCCTGCCTACCCTCTTTGCGGCAGGCCCATGAGCCAGGCTCCGCTCTGGGGTGCTCTCAGGGGCTAGGGGAGGTGGAAACAGATAGAGTTCACGCAAAAGTCTTCATCTGCGGCCATCCACCCACCCTCCTTCAGAGATGCAAGGACCCTGGAGACAGAGAGACCTTCTCCAAACACGGATGACACCGTCACTTACTCTGTCTTGAAGAAGTGTCGAGTGGTAAGGGGACTGGGCTGGGGAAGGAGAGGGTGCAGGGGGACCTGGGCTCAGCTGGGAGCCCCAGATGGGAAGGACTTGGCGGCCTCTGCGGTGGCAAGGGCTGGTGGGGGGCGGGGGGTTGCTCAGACACAGGTGTGGTGGGAGCCAGGGTGGACGGCCCAGTCCGAGATGCTGACTGCAGCCAGCGTGGGGGCAAGAGGACTTCCGCTCGGGCTCCTGGACCCTCAGGAGGAGCCAGGGAGGGACGAGGCCGGGAACGCAGACTGGGAGGCTGGCGGCCGTGAGGCCCACCTCACACCACGTGGCTTTCTCAGGGCGACTATGAGAACGTGCTTCCGGACAGTCCAGAAGATGAGGGGATACACTACTCAGAGCTGGTTCATCTCGGGGTCGGGGAGCGGCCTTTGGCCCAGGAAGCTGTGGAATACGTGACCCTCAAGCACTGAGGGGCCACACCCACTGGAGCAGAGGCACCGAGGGAGAGACCAGAGGGAGAGACCAGGGACCAAGGAGCTGGCCCCACCCCTGCCGCTCAGCTGCAAAGCCACACAACCTCCCTTCCACATCCAAGCACACGCACACGCGCGCGCACACGCACACCATCACTGACACCCCCCCGGTCAGCGCCCAGAATTCGTATGTGGCCCAGGGATGGGCTTCTTTCTCCACGCTGGTGACCCTGACCTTCCCAAAGACCTTCCTTGTCCGCTCTCCTTCCCACTGGGAAAGTCGTCTAAACCCCGATCCTGCACTGCACACATCCCCCTGCCCCTTCCTGGCCACCTGCTGCCTACCCCCACCCCCCACCCCCAAACTCCATCCCCAGAGGGCCGGCATCCCTGCTGGGGTCAGCTTGTGACTGTATTTTTTCCTTTCCCTCTCCATCCGTTTGGACCTCTCACCCCTGCTCTGAAAGCCCCACTCACTGGTCCTGTGCCTAATTTCTGCCTCTGGGGCAAAGCACAGGGATAGAGCGGCTGTCCTGAGCTGGGTTCTCCTCCACAGGTCAGCGAGACATTCCATTACGCTGCTGCAGCCCCTCCCCATGGGGGTCTGGTGGGCTGAGACACACACTGGTGTGGACAGACTGTGTAACACACACAGCTGCGCAATAAAGATGGCTCAGATACCACCTCAAAGAACCCATGAACGATTCCCATCTGTGGGGTCAGAGTGAGATGGGGAGATGCAGGAGGGCCTCGTGGGACCTGGGGAGAAGAGAAAGCGGTCGAGGCAACCTCAAGGTCAAATCAGCAGCCTGGGGAGTCCGTTGTCGTGTTGCAAGGGGTGCACTGACCCTGCAGGCAGACCAGCACGAGTCTGAGTCCTGACGCTTCTGCTAACAAGCTCAGTGATCTTAGGCAAGCTCACCAGCCCATCTGAGCCTCAGTTTCTTCATCCGCAAAATGGAGATGCTGCCACCTATGGGGCAGGCGGCTCAAAACAAGAAGTGAGGACATACATACTAGAGTCACTTCAGAAACCTAACACAACAGCCCAACGTCCCTAAAAACCAGATTGCCATCTTGTTTGCCACTCTTGAAGAATGCAAGAAGGGGAACCCGATTCATCTCTCGCAGCTCTTCTCAAAAGTCCCGCTGCCGAGTTTGGTCACACCCCACAGTTGCCCAAGAACTTCTCGAAAGCCAGCTGCCTTGAGAAATCTCATCGCTTTCCTCTTGACCCACCGTCACCATTACCCGTTCCCTGTCACGTTCACGAATTCGGACTTTCCAGTTCGGTCCTCCCAGTTTCCCCACCATGTACAGGTTTGACCTTTCTCCACCTATTCTTAAAAGCAGAAACACGTGGGTAATCCATCATCAAGGGGACGCAAGTTCCTGGCCCGTGGTGGGCGCTGCACAAATTCCACCTTCCTCCCCTGTGCTCCCTTCCCGTCTGCTTGAGACCAGAATCTGCTCTCTGAGAAGACGACGTGCTGGTCATTCTTGGAATTGTGCCAGAACAAGGCACTCATTTCCCCACCAATCCACTTTGTCGCCAGTGTGAGTTAGCATTTCTGGAGGAAGGGGGGACAGCCAGAACTGTCTCAGGCAGAAGGTAAGGGTTTAGGTTTTCTGTTTCTAGAATGAGGTCCAGGATCATTCGCCCACTCAACTGTGTATTCAGCAAACATTTACCGAACACCTGTCAGCGCATCCAGTATAGAGCAGTTGTTGGGGGTACAAAAAAGAAACGACATCAGCCTCATCGTGGGGACCTCTAGTCTAGGGTACCCATAAGGTTTTAGGGCATGATCCCCTCTAAGGAGCTAGAGGCAGCCCTGAACCTGGTGAGGCCTGGCACAGGCTCCCTGGCAACCAGCAGGTGCCCTGCCTTCCTGTTCGAGCCCAGCTGCCAACATTAACCTACTCTGTGACCAACTGACCGAGAGATGTGGCTGTCAACAGGCCAACAGAATTCAGACAGCTCCGAAGCCAGGGCCTCCAGAATCCAGGCAGCAATCCACACGGCCCCAGATCTCCCTGTCCTCTCAGGGCCCAGACAACCAGCCATTCATTCACTTACTGAGTCCTACTATGGACACAACAAGCAGAGAATAAAGCAGACAGAAATCTTGGGCCTCACTGACCAACATCCCAGCAGAGGAGCCAGCAAATCTGATATCACAGGCTCATGAATGCTAGGAATAAACACAGCGTAAGATGAAGATAGACTGGAGGGGGGAGGGACCCATCTGGAGAGGGTTTAAGGAAGGCCCTCTGCGGAGGTGACACCGGGCAGAGACCTGAGCTGGCAGAGGCATGTTGCTGAGGCAGAGATCTTGAAGATCCAGGGTCTCCCCTCACACCCTGCTTTTCTCTCCTTCCAAATGCTTGTTACAGGAGGTGAAATGGCCCTTCTTTTGACTTTTCCTGTGTTCTGTCAGTTTCCGAAGATAAAATACTAAACACAGATGGCAAGTTCTTCTACAGCCCAGGGGAGGTGCTGGACCACCTATGTAGGACAGGGAAGGGAGGCAACCAAGACTCAGTTGAGCGAATGAAGTAGAAAACGGGGATCCAATCATGTCTTTGGAGGCCGTGGTTGGTATGCTGAGAATCCCTTGCTGCCTCCACCAGAAGCCTGGTGGGGAGCACTTCGGGAAACCACTAGCGAATCTCTTTCTGGGTGACGTGGAATCTGGGAGAATGTGGCGGCCTGATGACTGACACACACACCCAAAAAAAAGTCCAGAGAGAGGCTGTATTGTCCATTTGAGGGAGAGACAGACAGGCAGAGAGAGAGAGAGAGACACAGGCATAGTCAGAGACAGACAGAATCATAGAGACAGGCTGTGGCCATTTTAAATCCCACTCGAGTCTTCCTAGAGAGGCAGGGTGACCCCAGTAGGGGGTAAACAGCTAAATTCTGAGAGGCTGAGAAGATATCTAAGCAGGCAGCTGGAGTCTCGCACCATGTATGCTTTACTGAGAGCCGCTCAGTGTCCCTCCATGTGCCCCAGAAAGAAGCCTGGCACCTTAGTGCCACCAAAGGAGACCCATCCTTGGTCTGTCCTCCTCCCCATTCCTGTCAGCACCAGAAGGCAGGGTCAGAAACTACTGTCACTGAGCCAGAGGGCAGAGGAGAGGGAAAACCTTCTCCTCCCAAAACGTGCCCACAGCCTGTAGCAGAGGCAACACTTTGGAATGATGACTTCATCATTCGCACATCAGTCACCAGATGGATATGGTGCGGGTCACCCAAGCTTGTTACCTATGAGTGAGTGCTGCCCACTAGCCAAGGCCTGCCCATGGGCTCATCCGGGAGGAGAGAAGACAGTGCCAGAGCATGTCTGAAGGGGCTGGGGTGGGGTGGGATTGAGCTGTGCTCTGGTTGTACCCCGACAACCCTGCTCCTTTAAGGGACTAGCTACACACTCCTCCTGCTGCCTAGGGGAAGAACCCTCGTTGCCACTCTGTCCCCTTCCTGTGTTTGCATCATCTGTTTGGACCCTCACCTCCTTGCCTCAGCTCCTGCTCGAGATGCCCCATTAGCTGCTCACCCAGGCTGCTGATGCCTTTGGCTAATGGCCTGCCGCCCCGCCCTCCTCTCCCTTCCGACTCACTGCCCATCCTGGACACCCTCCCTCAGCCTGGCCAGGGGGACTCCTGAGCCTCAGAGACATCTGGCAATGCCAAGAGGTGAGTCCCTCTTTCTGTGGCTCCTCTCTCCATGGCGATTATTCCCCCAGACTCCTCATTTACCCACTTAGGGTGCCCCCGAAGTTGGCTAAGCTCATTCTCTTTGGCACTGATGGGACCTGGCTTCCCCTCGGGCTCTGCTCTGCCACCCCCTGTGCCTGCCCTTGGCCACAGCCTCTACCTTACCCAAATCCTGACATTCCCTCCACCCCCGACCCCAACTAGGAGTTGCCTGCAACCCTCATTGGCTGCAATGCAGACTCTCAGCCGTCCCTTTTGGGAGGAGGGGGGCAGCTGCTTCCCTTCCCAGGGAATTGGGGGAGGGGAGTGGACACAGGACTCTAACTTCCCGTCCTAGGAAAAACACACACCCCGTGGGGTCCAACTATGTACTAATTTTCTACCCTTTCTCTACCCAGTCTCAGAAATCAGGAGGCTTTTCCTCTAATGGGACGTGCACGCTTTCCATTGTGTTTTAAGAGAGGACATGGTGGAAAGGAAGTAGAGGACTGAGGGAGAGCCATCCTCACTTCGAATCCAGACTCACCGTCGTACTGGCACCATCTCCCTCATGGGCCTCTCTGCTTGAGATAGTTGTCACCCCACTGGATGACTTCTAACACCCTGAGCAGTGTGTGACCCCAGGAACCCCTGAGCACCACCCCTCACCTTGCCCCAGGCCTATCCAAGGGTGGGGAGGAAGTAGAGCTCAGGAGCGTGGAGGCCAGCCCTAGCCCCATGGACCTGCCCCCGCAGCTCTCCTTTGCCCTCTATGCGGCCGCCTTTGCGCTGGGCTTCCCACTCAACGCCCTGGCCATTGGGGGTGCCGTGTCCCACGCCCGGCTCCGCCTCACCCCTAGCCTTGTCTATGCCCTCCATCTGGGCTGCTCTGACCTCTTGCTGGCAGCCTCTCTGCCCCTGAAGGCGGTGGAGGCCCTGGCCTTGGGTGCCTGGCCTCTGCCGGCCCCACTCTGTCCTGCCTTTGCTCTTGCCCACTTTGCTCCGCTCTATGCCGGTGGGGGCTTCCTGGCTGCCCTGAGCGTCGGCCGCTACCTAGGGGCTGCTTTCCCCCTGGGCTACCAAGCTGCCCGGAGACCGTGCTACTCCTGGGGGGTGTGTGCGGCCATATGGGCCCTTGTCCTCTGTCACCTGGGGCTGGTGTTTGGGTTGGAGGCTCCGGGAGGCTGGATGGACAATACCACCAGCTCCCTGGGCATCAACACACCAGTCAATGGCTCTCCAGTCTGCTTGGAGGCCTGGGACCCAGCCTCAGCGGGCCCCGCTCGCCTCAGCCTCTCTCTCCTGCTCTTCTTCCTGCCCCTGAGCATTACAGCCTTCTGTTACGTGGGTTGCCTTCGGGCACTGGTCCGCTCAGGCCTGAGCCACAGACGGAAGCTAAAGGCAGCCTGGGTGGCTGGTGGGGCCCTGCTCACACTGCTGCTCTGCTTAGGACCTTACAATGCCTCCAATGTGGCTGGCTTCCTGCGCCCCAACATGGGAGGCTGCTGGCGGAAACTGGGGCTCATCACAGGGGCTTGGAGTGTGGTGCTCAACCCGCTGGTGACTGGCTACTTGGGAGGGGCTACCGGGAGGGTGACAAGTGTGGCAAGAACAAAAGGAGGGACATCCCAGAAGTAGTAGCCCCTGCTGGGGAGAAGGGGCATGGAAGAGAGCTGGTTGCTTGTCTGGGCCCCTGGAGCCCAGAGCAAAAGAAACTGCAGGGCAGCGTGGCCTGCTTATGGAAAGAACTGAGCCGGCCAGAAGACTGCATCCCAGCTGGAGGGCAGGACGGAGGCCCGGAGCTAGGTCAGCAAGAAGGTAAGCTTGCCTCTGTACACATCAGCATGATTCCCTACCTCTGCTTGTCCCTTTTCTCCTCGTGCCCCATCTGCCAGTGCTACGGAAGTTTTCTTCCAATATAGAGGAAATGCCACTCTGATGACACACTTTGGGAGACGCTACTCCCAAAATAATTCCTTGGAAAGAACAGTTTAATTTCCCAATAAGAGAAGACGCAGGAGCAAGATACTGATGCTGTTATACCATCTGGAACTCACAAGAGGGCACCATTCGAACTGTGAATGGGAAGTTGGTAGGAAAAGCTGCCTCAGCAGGGAGGACAAAATACTAGCAACACCAGAAATAGTCATGAACAAACACAGAGTCTCTGAGACTTGACAGTCACCACATCGAGCACTTTAAAAGTGTCCCATTTCACACAATCCTTTGATATGGCCATGCAGCTGCTGTACACATGGGCAGGTGGTTCACTGCACAAGCGTGCCAGGCAGAGGGGCAAACATTGATCAAACTCTAACCTGAGCTTTGCTCACCAAGCCATGTGCCTGGCATGGGGCTGTTTCCATCCGAAGGAAAGAATATGTTATTCTAATCTGAACAAAGGTACTGCTTACTCCTCAAGCAGTGCACCCTGGTGGAGGGTGCTGCCACCTGGAGGGGGGCGCCTTTTCCTCATTTTTACAGAGGCACTATGTAAGTTAGCTACAGTCCTGGAACAAGTATTACCACCATCTTCATTTTGCAGGTTAAGAAATGTTCCCAAGGACAAACCATAAGAGACTCTTACTGTCACAAAACAAAGTGAGGGTGACGGGGGGAGGAGGGTAGGGAGAGGGTGGTGGGGTTATGGACATTGGGGAGGGTATGTGATATGGGGAGTGCTATGAAGTGTGTAAACCTGGTGATTCGCAGACCTGTACCCCTGGGGCTAATAATACATTATATGTTTATAAAAAATTTAAAAAAAAAAGAAATATTCCCAAGGCCCTACAGCAAGGAAAGGGTGGATGTGGAATGCGATACTTTAAGACAGGACCTCCAAAGGGCAGGGACATTTGAAAAACTGGGTATCAGGGTAAACGCCTGTCCTTGTGGTCCACTTTGCAAAGGTGAACGGTGGCACCCTCAACCTGTGAGAGAGTGGGTAGAGGAGAGTGGCCATGGAGGAGACAAACATCTGGGCATCTGCTCTGATGAGGCGAGGTGCAGGAAACAGACTTGTTCCTTTAAAGACGATAATGCCACGGACATATAAGACACAGGAAGGCTAGCTACGTACGTACCCTGCATGCACGAACCAGGTTATACAAGCTATTTCTTTTTATGCATAGATGTCCACGAAGGCAAGGCATTTTATTTGCTGATATATTCCCAGCACCTAGAGGGGAGCTTGGCACATAGCAGGCTTTCATTCAATGTTTACTGTATGAATGAATGTTCACAATAACCTTCCAAGGAAAACGTTATTTCCTGTTGTATAACTAAAACAGACCAGAGAAGTTATGAAACTTGCCTGAGGCTCTGCAGAAGTGAGAAACAAGTTTATTCCCTGCACAGTGGTGAGACCAACGAATTTCAGTGTAAGCTGACCTCTCCCCTCCTCCCAGAAAGCCAGGGACCGCTCTCTCTCCCACTGCTCGGGAGCACCTGCTGCTTCTGGACCACTTCTTCTGGAGAATTGTACCTGCTCCTTCTAAGGGTGGAATTTAGGGTCCCTGAAGCCCCATGTGATCTGCCACCAGCACCCTCATGACCCTTGCCCTTTAAGCCCGAAGGCTCCTACGTGTTCTCCCAGCAGGTCAGCCCATGCACCTGTCATTCTGTTTGCCTTAAGTGCTTCCACCATGGCTCTCTGCCTTTGTGCCACTGAGGTTTTATTACCCTCTGACCACTCCATTCCCCGAGATCTCACTCCCATGAAACCCACGACAGCAAAAACTATTTTCAACAACTTATTTGAGATAAAATCGATACCTCATAAAATTCACCCATTTTAAGTGTACAAGTCAATGCTTTTCAGCAAATTTACTAAGGTAGGCAACTCTCACTTTCATCCAGTTTAGAATATTTTCATCTGCCCAGTAAGACCCCGTCCTGGTCATTTATAGTAAATCCCCCTAAGTCCCCAGGGCAACGAGTAATCTATTTTCTACAGATACAAATTGGCCCATTCTGGACATTTCATATACATGGAAACATACGATGTATGGCCTTTTATGTCTCACTTGTTTCACTTGGCACGTTTTTGTGGTTATAGTACTCATAGGTATTTCATTCCATCTTACGGGCAAATAGTATCCCATTGTAGGGACAGAGACAGGCCACGATCCATCCTTTCAGCAGCTGATAGACCACCGGTGGCAGGGGGGGGGCGGTTTCCTACTTTCTGGCTAATATGAATAATGCTATTGTGAACACTGCTGAAGCAGATACGGATGGTGGAGGTGGATCACACAGTAAACTGATATTAACTGTTTTAAGAAACTGCTTTCCAAGGTCACTCTACCATTTCATATTCTTACCAGCAATGTATGAGAGGATTCCCACTCCTTAACCTCCTCCCAACCATCTGGCCTTGTCCGATTTTTTGCCTATAGCCATTCCAGCGGGCATAAAAGGGTTATCTCACTGTACTCCATAAATATTTGAATGAATAAACCCATAATCTCTGAAGTCAGACAGAACTGGGGTTTGAACCCCAGGGGTGATCCTTAACAAGCTGCGTTGCCTGGAGTGAGTCACTTCCCCACCGAGGAGCCCGAAGACAGAACGGCGATGCCCTCAAGGGCAGAGTGTCTGCTACTGATTATGTGACCCCTAAATCATCATTACCGTCATTAGTCTTCTCGTTATTACCATCACCCCGGAGACAAGCCCACACCAGTGACCGGGATGATGGCAGCCACCATCTGTTAGGTACCCACCACCACACGCCAGGTTCCCTTCTCAGCCCTTGACATATTAATGCTCTCATCTAACGACAAGCCTATGAAATTGGTACTGGGATGGTCCCTCCTTTGCAGATGGAGAAGCGGAGACAGAGTTTGGGTCACTTGCCGGAAATCACAGAGTCAGTGACAGAGCCGACAGCACAGCCAGGCTACTGGCTCCAGATCCTCAGGCTCTCCATCACTGCCTTAGGCTGCCTGTCCTTATAAGGCAAATTAGATGGCTGCCGTTCCAGAGAAGCAGATAAGAATCAAGTGGGGGATCCGAGAGGGGAAGATGAGATTGGCTCAGGGTAGTCTCAGGCATCCCCTCCGAGACAGCCCGAGAGCAAGGCACAGAGTAGTGGAATTTGCTCCTCATTTTGCATATTGGCTGGAGCTGATAAAGGAGCTAAACGCATCTTTTGTGCGATTGCTCAATGGTGAATGATGTCACGGGTCTTTATCAGTTCTGCCAGATAACAGCTAACTTACGCTGTTCTCCAGAAGCTGGCAAAGAGCTGGGCACAGAGCAGCTGAGTTCTCAAATAAGCAGGTAAGCATGGGGCCCTGAGGGGCTTGAGAGGGGGCCCCTTGGTGGAAAGGGACAGGGAATAGGGTACGACCAGGAAGACAGGCAGGCTGACCATTTTGGAGAAAGCATCAGAGGGCACGAAGGGGCTGCGTGGAGGGGCGGGGGACAGTGTTCCCTGCCAATGGTTGAGATGCTGCTGGCATGGGGCATGAAGTCCCCCCACCCCCGAGCCTGTCCCCTCCATCTAGCTGTCTCTTTCTCCAGTGGCCATCACCATGGGCACAAGTCCGAAATGGTCCTTCTTCCCCGGTGATCACTGGCTCTACTTCTCCGTGTACCTCTTCACCTTCATCGTGGGGCTCCCCCTCAACATGATGGCCCTGGTGATCTTCGTGGGCAAGCTGCGGCGGCGCCCGGTGGCCGTGGACGTGCTTTTGCTCAACCTGACCCTCTCCGACCTGCTCCTGCTGCTCTTCCTGCCGTTCCGCATGGTAGAGGCCGCCAGCGCCATGCACTGGCCCCTGCCCTTAGTCTTCTGCCCCCTCTCTGGATTCCTCTTCTTCACCACCATCTACCTGACCTCCCTCTTCCTCACAACCGTAAGCATTGAGCGCTTCCTGAGCGTGGCCTACCCACTCTGGTACAAGGCCCGGCCCAGGCCTGGACAGGCCAGCCTGGTCAGCGGGGCCTGCTGGCTCCTGGCCAGCGCTCACTGCAGCGTGGTCTACGTCACTGAATTCTCAGGGAACAACTCCCACAGCCAGACTATGAACAGCACCTGCTACCTGGAATTCGAGAAGGCCCAGCTGGCTGTCCTACTCCCCGTCAGGCTGGAGATGGCTGTGGTCCTTTTTGGGGTGCCCCTGCTCATCACCAGCTACTGCTACGGCCGCCTGGTGTGGGTGATCAGCAGGGGAACCAACCATCGACGGAAGCGGCGGGTGATTGGGCTTGTGGCGGCCACCCTGCTCAACTTCCTTGTCTGCTTCGGGCCCTACAACGTGTCTCATGTCGTGGGCTACATCAAGGGTGAAAGCCCGGCGTGGCGAAGTTATGTGCTGCTTCTTAGCACCCTGAATTCCTGTGTCGACCCCCTTGTCTACTACTTCTCATCATCCGGATTCCAGGCTGACTTTCACGAGCTGCTGAGAAGGCTGACGGGGGGGCAGGGGCCCTTGGAAGCTGGAGGGCAGCATGAAGCTAAAGAAGGGTGAGGAGGGGGGGCAGCCATGGGAGCTGTCCAACGTAGAGAATAGGAAGCGGACTCTGGCAGTGGCCAGGCAGTTCCTAGCTGGAGTCAGGCAGGACTGGGGAGTGAGATGGGGGAGCCGGGGGTTGATGCAGCTGGGCCGGAGCAGGCACCCAGCCTCCCCAAGAATGCTCGCCCAAGCCTAGCTCTCGGCCTTACCCAACTGCCCTCCTTTTCCATTCCCCTTCTGCCCCCCGACCCCTGAAGCTGTGGATTGAGCCCTGGGAGACAGTCAGGATGAGAGCATGCTCTGGAGAAAAATGACCTCCCATGGCAGCAGGGCGGCTCCCATGCTTTTTGGAAGGTAAAGGAGGAGTTGAGAGCAGTGACCAGGGACTGAGGGAGCTGCCTGGTGGCTTGGGACAGGAGGGGGAAGAAGCCACCCTCCAGAGCTGCTCCTACTCTCAGGTCAAGAGTGGGTACACAAAATCCCAGGCTTGAGGGAGCATCCTGCTCTCATGCGGATTTTTCCAGAAAGTTTCCATTGTTCAGTAAATTCAGATTTTCGGGGACACTTATGAAAAATAATAGAAGAAAAATTACCTAAATAAATCTGGCAGCAAGTAAAAGAGAATGGTCTTTCCTTTTTTTTTTTTTTTTTTTTTTTTGAGAGAGAGAGAACAGGCATACACGTGCAGGTGGGGTTTGGGGGGGATGCAGAGAGAGAGAGAATCTCAAGCAGGCTCTACACCCAGTGCAGAGCCTGACACAGGGCTTGAACTCACAACCCTGAGATCATGACCTGAGCTGAAATCAAGAAATCAAGAGTTGGATGCTCAACCGCCACCCAAGGGCCCCTGTCTTTTTCTTATGATATATCTAGGCCAAATGGTATTGGTGCATGGAAGCATAAAACACCTAGACTCCGAAGGAAAAGAGCTAAAATCCCTAGATGTCAGGAGAGGATCTGTGTCGGAGGAATAAAAGTAACAGCTACTCTATGGGAAGGACTTGGCCTCACCCACTAGCTTCTTCCATCCTCTCACTAACCCACAGAAGATACTATGATTATTCCCACTTTGCAGGTGAAGGGATGGGCCAAGAAGCTGAAATCTCCTACCTGAGATCCTATAGTCCGTAAGTGATTACAGCAGGCCTGGAGGCCAGAATTAGCTGACCCCGACTCCCATATCCCTCACCCACTCTCCTCTTCTGCCTACAGCTGTGTGTCATCTGCAGAGAGGGGCCCGAGTCTGGCTTCCAGAGCCAGCGAGACAGTCTGCCCAGGACAGATGTAAACAGGCCATGAGGACAACTGGAACGACATGCAAAGCAGCTTGGCTGTTGCTAAGTCCTCTTCCCTTATTATTAGAAACCCACTCAAAAAAACAAAGCTTATCAGTCAGCACAGTTGACTTCAAAGACAGATGTATATTCTTAAGAGCTATTTTTATCAAGATGGGACCATTTAGTAAGCTTTCCTTTCCTACTGAGGGGTGGTGCATGAGAAAGCGTGGGTTAGAGCCTCCTCTACCAGCAAGGCGACCAGAGCAACACGGGCACCTGTTTGTACTCACTCTGCTCTAGTTCAAAAACATTTGTTGTGCACCTACTGTGTGCAGCTGGCTGGGCTGAGAACTGCAAGGGCTTTTAATATGAACGTCTTTAGCATCCGCTTTTCTCCTGGGGTGAAGGTCACTGGAGATCCACGGCTGGCTGTGGGTGCAGGGCTGGGTTTCAGATGGAAGGGGAGAGACATCATCTCAGCGCCGAGATGGAGGCATGCGCTGTCTCTCTGACTGTGACTCATCTTCTGTCCCAAGGCACTCAGCCCTGGTGACAGCTAAGAACTTAATAAAAACATGAGTCTACATGGTTCAGATAGGGAACAAAGGTTGACATGGAGTCCTGTGACTCCAGAATTGGTAACAAGGACCCAACTCAGAACAAAAAGGAATTGGAAATCCCGTGTTCTAGAGAGAGCCACGAAGAACAGGAACCTGACTCCTCTCCCAGGGTTTACAGTGAGGAAGAAGAAGCAGCTTTGAGGGCTTTAGGGCTTCCAACTATCCCCCAGCATTAACCCCTTCCCAGTCTGTATAAGCAAAAGGCTAGGGGTGGGGAGAGTGAAAAGTCATCAGAGGCTGGGTGGTTGTCTGGGCCATGGTGAGGGGACTGTGGTGGCATTTTCCATATCTTGCAGAAGCCAAGGGACAGGGGTGCTCAAGGAATGGCAGGTGTCTTCTGCGACTGTTGCCCTGTGCCTGTCCAGGCAGAGAAATGAGACCAACAGACAGGTGGCATGGGAGCGTCTATGTGCATGACGAGCACTGTGCTCTCTCACCAGCTGGCCGAGCAAGCAGGTGAGAGCTCCCCGTGGGTGAAGTGGAAATTCTAGATGCTGGAAGAGGTCAAACCAGGTTGGCTCTCTGAAGACAGAGGTCAGAAGAACTCAATTCTAGCTACAACAGAAAGCCAGTAAGCGGGCATCCAATGCACAGTGGACACCAAAAGCTACTCGGTATTTAGCTAAAGCACTGTTGCCCAAACTTTTTTGTGTCTCCATCCCCTCAAGGAGCCTTGTTGGGTATTTTTTCCTATTCATCACCTTCTTCTGCCCTGCCCATGAAATTTTAATACAACACACACACTAGATACCTGTTTATGGGTACGGCCGTTTGGAAGGCCACAAACCATTGCTCCCCTGCGGCTCATTTTCCCCTCTTTGGGGGACAGTGTTGGCCCTGCTGAGAATGCACGAGCTAGAGAAGCGGTTTTACCTCACAGAGTGATAAGGCCCATCTCACACAACTGTAGCCCAACGAAGTGACATTTACTAGGCTGCTGGAGCAAAGGAGACCACATTCCAGAGGAAGCATGGGCGCCTCACCAGAGAAGAGACAGGGGTATTTTAGGATTTGGGGTGAGGGGAATATTTGGGTGAACTTTCAGTGAAGCAGTGCTTGACAAGCTCAACGCAAAGACACCTGTTTGCAAAGAGGTCAATGTCAGGTCCGGGCTGAGAAGTGGACTCTGGGTCTGTTCTTCTGGAAAATATGAAGAAAAGGTAAAAGCAGAATTCTGTGTCTGAAAACCCTTGTTCTGAAGCTCTGGGAGTTGAAAAGCTGGGCTGCTTCTCAGTGTCACACGCTCCCGCTCAGACTCTCGGAGCAGCAAGGGAGATGTTCAGTTCTTCACTGACCGGATTTCAAACAGCCAATTTTCTGACAGCGGGGTTTTAGGAAGTAAGGGTTATCAGCAATATAATTTTGTTAATTAAAAAAACAAGTTCTTCAAGGTTTACAAAAGGAACTCACTGATGGCCATGATGGAGGAGGAGATTTTCTTTCCTAGTAGGAAGGGTCCCCCTGCAGCACAACTCAGAAGGAGGAGAGGAAGAACAGACATGACCCATCCCTGCCACAGGTTCTCTGGGCCACAGGTCAGGTCTCAGCATATAGGGAACAGAGAGGAGGCCAGAAGTTTTAAATTTCCAAGCGCACCAGGAACCGAGGGAGGCTATTCACAAAGTCATTAAGAAACTGGCAGAGAGGGGAGCCAGGGTGGCTCAGTTGGCTAAGTAATTGCCTTCGACTCGGGTCATGATCTCAGGGTTCTGGAATCGAGTCCCACATCAGGCTCCTTGCTCAGCGGGGAGTCTGCTTCTCCCTCTCCCTCTGCCTGCCACTTCCCCTGCTGTGCTCGTGCTTTCTCTCTCTCCCTCTCAAATAACTAACTAACTAACCAACTAATCTTTAAAGAAAAAAAGAGAGAGAGAAGGGCAGAGACAGATAAGTACAGCTTGGCTGATGGCCGTGAGTGTTGCAGGGCTGTGCTACAAGTTCAAACTCTCTGTAGACCAGTGCCCATCAGAGGAGGGCAGGGGGCAGGCAGGAAAGCAGAGGGAAAATGGTACGGTGAGGCAGGCTGACTCGCTGTCTTTTCCTAAGTTGAAGACACCACCTGTGACCAGAGCCTTTCGCTGTTCTAGCAAGCGGCCTCTCAGCCAGTGAACGTGCCTGGCAGGGTAAAAGGAAGCTGTGATGCAGGGCTGAGAGGTCAGTCTGCCTCAGCTGGGTGCTGGTCAGGGTTGGGGGAGCATAAAGGAGGTGAAGGACAGACGGGGGTGAGCAAGAAGCTTTGGACTCTGAAAAACTGGTTGCAAAACTCATCCCAAAGCAGGAAACAGAGCAGCAATAAAGGTAAGAGAATGTGGAAGACCTCGGGCCATGTATTCCGGGAGATGAGAAATAAGTGGGACACAGAGTTTGCTGTGGAGGAAAAAAATAAAGTGAAATAGTGTGAGAAAGTGCTCAACTTTTTACCTTCCTCTCTCTGATATGACCTCTCCGGTTTAAAGAAAAGAAAAAAAAAAAAGAACCTAAGGCAATATAGGTAGTTGCAGCCCTTAAAACTGCAGAGTCTATGAGAAGCCTACTGACTTCCCTTTAAGGCCAGTTCTGAAAAACCATTTGAATGGAGGGAGATCAAGGCACCAATATGCCGGCCAGCAATCTGGGAAAAGGATGCTGGGATCCCATTCCAGAAAAGAATAGGAGAGAAGAAAAGAAGTCTGAGAAAGTGGGTGGGCATGGGATGGTGCACACAGCTCACCGCCCCCCTCCCAACCATGGAAGCATGGAGCAAGGGGAGAGAAAATGTTGCAGAAGAGGAAATGGGGTCCAGAAATGTTTTTGGAAAGGAGGTGATTTCGCTGAATTTAGACTCATTCCACTGAATTTAGACAACCAAATCAACCAACCATCCCCTGGTGCAGAACCCCCAGTTCCAGCATTAAATTGTAATTGGCACTAATCATGACGATATTATTCCCCTTTATTGGTGACTGCTCTCAGAATGTATACACCAGTGACCCAATTCTAGACGGCAAAAAATAAGAAGTCTGCAGGGGAAGGAGGATGTCTGGGAAAGATTTTTCTCCATACTGAAAGAGATAGCTGTGTGAGGAGCTGCCCTCCCCCTTCCTAGTTTGGAAACTTTTACATGAAGATGTAATACTTGGAGCTATGGCAGCTATTAGGGGGCCATAAGGCCATAAACTTGAGAAAGGAAGGTAACAAGCTAAGGGTGGCAAAAGAGAAGGATAAAAAGGCCTTGTTGAGCTGGGACCCCTACCTCCACACTCATTGTCAATAAACACTCCTATAGCTGACTCACTATTAGCCAGAGAGTCTCTTTAACTCATAGCAAATGCATCTTAACTGTAACAGATAAGCCT